AGCAGCAGCGGCGGCGGCAGCAGAAGCAGCAGCGGTGGCAGAAGCGGCAGCGGCAGCGGGGGCAGAAGCGGCAGCAGCGGCGGGGGCAGAAGCAGCGGTGGCGGCGGCAGAAGCAGCGGCGGCAGCGGCGGCAACAGGAGGTGGCGGAGCGGGACTCTTGGGCTACGGCTGCCTCGGCACGAGGAGCGCTCTGACGGCGCCCGCCTTTTCTGTTGCTGCTTGGCGTGGCCCTCGCCCCGCCTCGCACCTGCCTCTCCTCCTCCTCCTCGTTGGCTCTTGCACGAAGGTTGGGGTGGGCAATGGGCCGCATTACGAGGCGACCTGGGCCGCATGCGGCCCACGGGCCGCAGGTTGGACAAGCTGAGCTAAGCCATTCTAATTGGTCCATTGTTTAACCATAGGCCATGTTTTGCTTAAAGCTAAACATGTCACCTGAATAAGCATGGTTTCAATTTCCAGTTACATTCCACTGTCAAAGAGATTTAAATGGTTTTGCAATAAAAATGTGTACTAGGCATACCGTGGAGTTATTGAGGATTTGGTTCCACACCATTGCAATAAAGCAAATAATGCAATAGTCACACAATTTTTTGGATTTCCAGTAAATATAAAAAACATATATACACTATATAGTTAGTCGATCATAAAAGACATTGCCTATTATAGTCGCAAGTCAAAATGGTCATAAAATAATCACGACCAACCCAATTCTATGACTTTTTGTGGCAGTTAAAGAAACAGTAGTTTTTAAGCGAATACTATGGTTGTTAAGCAAATCCATTGTTTGCTATGGCACATTTTTTCCAAAATCTGAACTGCCAGTTTTCAATAAAACCATTGTAAAATATGGTCACATGACTATAGGATGCTGCAATCATCTGTAAATGTAGTCCAGCTGCTAAGCACCCAAATGTAGTTGTGTGACCAGGGGAGGGGGGGGGACCTTTAGAACTTCAGATCCAGGTTTTAACTCTCTTTTTGGGGGTCATTTGTAACTTTGAACTGTGATTACCAATACGGTCTACTGTAGATGCAATATTTTGTCTAAAAAAAAAAAACTGTGTATGCCTTAATTAAAATACTTTATTGCTAAAATGCTGGTAGATGGTCTTGCAAAATATTTGCAAAGCATATTCCTATGTATATTTTTTCTACTGTAGTGCCACCCATTTATTCTGTTTATTAATTGATCTAGATAGTTCCGTCAAATAGAACATGATACAAGAGGTGGATTGAACAGTTAAGAACAATATTTTAGTGTGAAATGCTTTTTTAAAAATGGCCTGGCAGTCTCAAGTGGAGAGGAGATATTTAGTTATTTTGGTTCTTTCTGAAAGAATTGTAGATAGATGTTCAGATGTTGCAGTTTCTGCTTGTTATGGTTATGATGGGTTTATGCTGCTCATTGCTAAACACATTTAAGTGTTTACATTTGTCACGTGTACTTGTTGGTTTGCATCTCAAAATATCTCTTAATATGGGAATTATTAGTGAGTTTTAATGTATTTATCTATGTATTGTTAAAATACATGCTACTTAAAAATATATTCAACTTAAAAAAATTAAATAGACCTCACATCTATTGAAAAATCTGGGGTTGGTTGAGCTAATTAATCAATAATCTCTATATAAATCACTGTTAACATGTACTCAAATGTACTCAAATAATACTTCCATGGTCCTGAACTGTTTTATTTGCCACTCGTTATCCACTCAAAAGATTTTTGCACAAATATTATTGTATTGTAAATCTTTTTCCTGTTATGTCAGTTCTATGTGCACATGTGTGACAGAAATGACACTGCATTTCATTGCGACAAAGTATTGAATGAAGAGTACAGCCTCACCTTGAAGCTATTTGAATCTTAGGAACAATCTTAGCATAACCTGTATGTTTTTACAGTGTCTGTAAATATACTGCAGTGTTTAAAAAGACTGCATTTGTGACATCATGCAATACTTTCAATGCATGTATACAAAACTAAGCTATGAATCCTAATATAAATTATCCATGTAGGATTAGATAAAAAATCTGTATGAAAAAAAACCCTCTTGTTAATTAGCCATGCAGTTCATCTTTCCTGCAGATTCAATGTGTACTCTTTAACTGGAGTTGCACAACATACTGAATCAAAACTAGACAATCAGGTTTTAATGTAACATTGTGGAAATGCAACCCAGCTTATAGCTTATCATAAAGTATTGTCCAAAATAAAAATACTGGATAAACCACGGGGAACTGAAATGGATACTGTATGTCATACCGACTATAGGTTTTATGTTTAGATAAGAGAAAGTCTTAAAGTTCAATTTTAAATACACTTGCAAGAAAGTGTGCCCCATTAAACACAGTGCAGCAGTACTTTTTAGATATATACTGTACATGCAGAACTTCATGGTACAATTATACAACAAAGAAGTTCCACAATGCAATATGCAACTAATGCCTAAGTTAACATCAGACTGCAATATAGTGTTAGACTGCAAAATACGATTTGATCATGACGACTGAGTATTAAAAAATGCTGAGATTGATCTAGCATTTTAATCCACACATATTTAGTGATTATGTTTCCTTATTAACTAATAATCCAACTGGCATATTTGCTTTGGCCCAATCTGATCAAAATAAATAAATTTAGGATTATATTTTGGGCTCACGTCATAGATTTATAAAATATTCTCTTAATACATTTCTATAGTGGGCAAAAACCATTTCAGTATCGTTTTTTGGCAAAAAAGGAAAAATGTGCAATTTTTAAAAAGTATGTACTTGGATTCATAGAATATGGTAAACCATAATTTGCTTGTTCATGGTTTACTATAAATGAAGCTGTGGTTTACTCAATAGAATAGTGCTAAGCAAACAAGGCTTATTGAGTTTATGAATTATCAGTAAACTACAGTAAAATCTTAAGTATTTTATTACAGGTGAACTATTCAATTTCCATATATTTGTTGTGACTATCATTGAAAAAATGGAGCAGGTTCTTTTGGAAAAATATTAGGAAATCTGAAAAAGTTTAGTATTACGTTAACAGACAGGAAATTATGTGTTTTCACTATTGAGAGCATGCATCTGCATAAATATCCAGAATATCAATTCTGCAATATTCTCTATCTGTCCTTTTTGGTATCTCAAGAGTTTCTTTTTGAACTAAATGCATTTTATAAATAAATAAAATTTGCAATAATGATTTAATAATTGCAAAATTGAAGGCAAAAAATAGATTCTTTTTACTGAACATTTTATCTTTGTGCTGTAACATGAAGTACCGGTGATAACCAGGTCTCTGTAATGACATATTTGGATTTCAAATGGTGTGGCAATCAGTATCAGAGATGAATAACTCTAATGAATAACTGACCTCAGTAATCAAAGTGTGGTGTTGCACACTTAGGGTCACAGGTCTTAAATTTCGCCTGGATTTACTGCTGAATAAATCAGAATTAAACCGGTAGCGTCTTTTCTGACTAACACCTGATTAAAAATCATGAGTTGGAAAAACTACTAGCAGATTTCTTCTTTTATTTGCTTGCCACCATAATCTCACACGGGTTTCTCCCTACAGCGCCTGCTGAATAAAGACGCCCTGGTTCGAACAGTTTTAACCTAGAAACTGGATGAAAGCTGGCGATTCTGTAACTGCACAGTCTTCGGCGTTTGCCTTTAGAAGCCGTCGAGTTCAGCGCGCTCCAGTCGAGGAGGCGCACAGTTAAAAGGACTCCCTTCCCAGCTGCTGCATTTGTTCGACGCCTCTTCTCAGCGGCCGGTTTGCACTCCGGCGAGCGAGCGCGTCTGTCAGGGAAAGGAAGCGCGCGAAACACGCCATTTCGGGACTGACTAAAGGGGCCGAAACGGGGCGCGGAGCTAAAGTCCGCGGGTTTCTCCTTCTCGTCTTTTCCCGGGGGGTCTCCCTTTCAGCAGCGCCAAGATCTGCACAGGGAAACCACCACCCCCGCCGTCGAAAGATGCAATCCTCGCTCTTCCCTTGGTCCCCCAGTCTGCTGGTCGAGGAGAGATGATGGTGCCTTCCCTTCAGGATCGAGCAATGATCCTCCTTCGTTTTCTTCCAGGCTGCCACCAGCTGAAAAAACAAAACAAAAAACAACCCCCTCACTTACTGTATACCTTAAAGCAGCCATTTTTCATTCTGCAGTAGCAGCCGCCCGTGATGTCATCCACCATCAAACAGCCAATCCCACTACCCGAACAGCCCCCACTCCTCTCACCCAAGCAGTCATCAGCAGAGGCAGCAAACTTTGGAATCGGCCCCTCCACCCCCGTCCCTTCCCTTCTCCCGGTTCTCGTCCCGCCTCCCCCTCCCCCCCCCACTGCAAAGCGCTTTCCTGAGGGGCGACGGCGTCTGCGGGCGCCGCGATCGTTTCCTCCGTCTCAGCAACATCATCGCTCCGGAGGTTTTGCGGGGATGCAAGAGCTCAAGGCTCGCGGCAGAAGCGCCAGGCTGCTGCAACAGCAGCAGCAGCAACTCTGCTGGGGTGCCCTCTCCCTGTCTCCAGGCGGGATTGCAGCTTGGCGGCGGCTGCTGCAGCTGTTAATCCCTCTCTCTACCTTTGCTTCGTCTGGATCTCTCCTCTTCCCCTTATACGCGCGCAAAAAGAAAAAAAGGGGGGCCAGATCCCCGCTCCTGCCGCCTGCTTCTCTGCTGAGTCACGGGCTGAGGGTCCCTCGCTCTTGCTCTCGCTCTCTCTCCCGAGGAAATCACTAGCACGTCTTAGAGCGCTGCTTGCTGCAGCCATTCGGAGCCCTCATTCCCGGGCCGCACGCTCATGCTCCTCCTTCCCGGCCGTCTGAAGAGGCGAGCTTGCCCTTCGCTGCGTTTTTCTCAACCCTTCCCGGCTGTCCTTCGGGGCTGATTTCCTCAGCATTCCTTCGGAGCTGCCTGCCTTCTCCCCCCATCCACCCCCGCACCCCCGGGCCAGCAATTTATTTATTTATTTAAAAAAAAAAAAAAAAAAGATCCTCCCCGGATTTCTTCCACACGAACGCACCCAGACCCGCTTGAACCATGATCGCGGCTGCCTTTTTGGTCTTGCTGAGACCTTACAGCATCCAGTGTGCCCTCTTCTTGCTGCTTCTGCTGGTGGGGACCATCGCCACAATTTTATTCCTCTGCTCCTGGCACCGTAAGGTCCAGAAAGGGAGGCATCCGATCAAATCGGTCTTTGCGGGGCGCTCAAGGAGCCGAGGTAAGAGACGCAGTGTTGGCTTGCTCACCTTGGCCGAGGGGGAAGGGAAGGGAGGGGGGGGGGTTTTTTCGCCGGTTAAACGAGGGGCGGGTGGGGGGAATATCAAAGGGAATCCCCCCACCCGCCGTCTGTCCAGGGTAAGGGTGGGTTTCGCCGTTGCGGAGGATGGCGATCTTAATAGCAGGGGTCCTTCCAAAATTTTGGGAAAGGGGCTGTGGAGAGGAGCAGATATTGCGGCAGCCTAAATCTCCACCCCAGCCTCAATTTTTAACTGCCAGGCTGATGGTTGGGAGACAAACCCCCCCCCCCCTTTCTCCTTGTTGCTCAAGTAGACTGTAACTTTCCTGTCAACTTCGAGGAGAGGGAATATACATAACGTTCGCTTGGTTTGGGGGTGGGGGCGGGTCAGCTATGCGTGGAGAAGACTGCACCCTTCCATGGTAGTTGTGGGAGATGGTAAAGGGTGCTTGGAAATAATTAATAAAAAATATCCGACTAATTCTATACAATGTGGATGCTGCTGCTGCTGCTGCTGAAACGGAGACAGATACAGTCCTGTCTTCCCCCTCCCCTCTCTTTTCTTTCTAGATGCTGTAATGAGAACTCATCACTTTCGTTCCGAGGTAATTTATTTAGCACGCAATCTCAAGGTTAGAAAAAAGTTTTCTTCTTGAAATACTTCTCTTATTAAAAATGTATGCTTTAAAAATACTTGCCACCATATATTTTTTTAAAAAGTTTTGCATGGAAAATCATGATTGAATGTTTTAATAAGCTGTTTTTTCTTAACGTTATATATTTAATATCTGTATATCCTCTTGTTAATTAAAGTGTTAAATCTTACCTTTATGTTCCTGTAAACTTTTAATTTGCAGGGATATTAAATAGATACAATTCATATGAGACAGAAAGGGGTGATTCCATATTACCCTAGTTGAGCATCTGATTGTTTTGTCTTCAACCAATGACCACAGTTTGTAACGTAATTTGCGATTTTCATCAAGAAAATCAGCATCTTTCTAAAATTAATACCTCTCTGCAGGAATAGGGTCAATCACTCTTTTAATGTTCACTTTTTTTCTATTATTATAAAAGAAGTACTTCTGAGCTTTCAGTTACAGTTCAAATCTCAGAAAGTTGATTCCCTTCTCTATAGGAGAGGGGGAAATACAATATATTCCACAAATTGACTTTAATATTCAGGCATTATAAGGCATTTCTACTTGAAACTAATATGATCTCAACCAGCCAGCCATTTCTGGCTTCCTACAATAGATTGAGGAAACAGAGCCCATCTAATCTTCACATCCATTCAAGGTTATTTGGTGCTTCTGACATTTAATACTTTTTTCCAGGGAACATGTTTTTTTTTCATCTTGCTTTTTATACATTCACAAATTATTTCAAAGCAGTTTGCTGGGAATTCTATCCTAGAGGGAGATCTTTATGGAACTTGGCCTTTCTTTCAGGTTAGCTTTCAAGGACAGTTGCTTCTCTATTAAAGTAGTAGTAAAATCCCACTGGAAAATCAAAACTAATCAAGGTTTTTTTCATTATTAATTCATTGATCTACATCTATGAACCTAAGCTTCAAACATAAAATTGGAGCTTGAGCTTTTATTAACAGTCCCAATTCAGATATCAATAGCCAGCTAAACTAGAAAATATTGCTATTACCATGCCTTTATGAAGCTTATGTATGGCTAAAAGTTTGCTCTTATATAAATAAATCCCCTTTGTGGTATAGTCTTAATTAGATTTACTCAAAAATGAGATCTTCCCATTTCTATGGGATTTACTGGGATTCACAAAACTGGAAGGGTGTGTGATAAATCATGTGGCAAATCCACATGATTGTTTCCTTATGGAGTTGCAGAATCTCTTTGGGTTGAGAATCCCCCAGTTAATACATGGAGAACAAATTCCTTTCATGTTGGTAACAAAAAACTATGTAAAAAATGAGCAATCCTGTTTTGTGGTTTGGTGGTACCCAACAAAATGGGGCTAAAATCTGGTAGCAAACTGCTAAGTAACAGCAGTGCAGTTTCCCATGCCCTGTTCATTGTAGTCCTTAACTATTGAAAATATTGTTTAAATGAAGTATATTTCAAATGTGTTTTTCCCCTTCGCCTGGTTACAAAAAAGAGGTTACTTGCCTCTTTCTGAAAGTAAGCAAGCCCCTTTGGAGGGAAGTAATTGGAGCTGTACCTAAGGGATGTCAAATTTCTTTTTGATTGTCAGCCTAAAGGAAAATTAAATACAGAAAAAGTGACATTTATATTGGCAACTGAACATGATAACACAGCTGTTTTTAGGTGATGGAATTTGTGGTATTATTAACTCTATCTACCCCTTCTTGCTTTTCCTTGTTCCTTAGGAAAAATATACAACTGCATAGGTTTCAAGTGTGTGATATAGCTAAAAAATTGACAGAGTGGCAGTTGGTGATGTTACTCACTCAGAACGTCAGCTACTTCCAAGTAGAACTTACTGGGATTTACAATCTAAGTAGGGATTTGTTTTAAGTAGGGGTGGATTTAATCAATTCAAGATCTAGTACAACTGAAACTACAAATTATTGAGTTATCTTGATATCTAGGAAGGTTTCTTCCTGAAACCTGCAAGTGGATCTTCAAACTTGCTGTGCTAGCATGACTCTTATAAAAAGAAACTGATGATTGAGCTCTGAGACCATAATGTATCAAACAAATTCCACTGGATTATGAGCAATCAAGCCTTAGAAATTCTGTATTATCTAATTGTCACAAAGAGTTGAATTATCAAAGGAAAGAAACGCAGATGAGGTGAGATGGAATATGGTGAGGAGGTGGGTCTCAGGAAGGGAGGGGGCACATTCTAGAAGAGTAAGAGGCAACTTAATCCAGAGATTATGTTTGAGAGAAAGAGGATGAAGACAGTTCCTCCCTAATAACTGACAGAATATATTGTAGATGCATATAGTAAGAGTTTTCAGCCTGGCAAGATTTTGTCTATAGATGTGAAACAGTAAAGAACAATTCGGAAGAATTGTCATTTTTAGTTTTGGCCTGACATGAGGACAGCTTCTCATTCTGCAGCTGCTAAATCAGCTTTAAAAATATTCTGGAGAATAACATGCTAGAATACAGTTTTCGATAATGCTGATTTGAGGAGGTGGGGGAGAGCCATGATCTTTCAGACATTTTACCTTAGAATAAACATCAGTGTACTTTATGTCATGAATTAATCAAGATTAAATTGAGCTGTCTGTATTTATTTTTATTAGAATAGGACCTGCCTATCACTTGCTGAGAAGAAATGCAAGATTATGTCCCTCCTACGATTTTCATGTCAAGGGGCAGAGAAATTGATGTTGAACCTTAATTCCCACTGAGGATGGGACATTTAAGGGAATGCCAGCAAAAATTAATGTCTAGGAACTAAGAACATTTTGAGAAATTACCATTGTTTCTCTCTTACCTCTTCATTGGTCTCCTTACAATATACCAGCATAATACATTTCATTAAACCATAAGCTTACTATTAACCTTTCACTTGTTTTTACTGAAGGTTCATCTGGTTCAATGTTTTCTTTGGCTCCAATTTTATCAGTTTCTGATATAGCTTGTTTGCTAGTGACACATTTGTGCTCCCATGTAAAAGAATTGTGGTGTGAATATAGTTTCATGAGATGACAGCAATTATTAATGCTAGGCTGAAGAAAATGACTTTTAAAAAATGTGTGTCATGGCCTTTGCAGCTGCTGAATACTTAGTGCTGGAGCTGACCTATGTATTTAGTTTTATCTTGTAGATAAGATACTTATACATGAGTGGTGCTAAAAATAGATCACTCAGAGAAACTAATACCAAAAAAATCCTAATCAGTGATTTGGCAACTGAAATCTCAAATGGTCAACAGTATTATCTCATATATCTCCCTCTCTTCATTTCACAGGTAGTAATTCTCTACTACATATAAAAAATAATAAAAGTCATCTTCAGTCTGAGACCCATTATTACAGTTAACCTACTTTCTGCTTTAGTGGACATTGCAAAATTTTACTTTGACTTATGTAGTTCAATATTTGATGTGTGGGAAGAAAAGGCAGCAAAGAGAACAAGCCTCAGCTATTCAAAGAACCACCTTCCAGTTCTTGAACAACTCATTCACAGTTAAAATTCTTTTCCTTCACTTATGTGTATTAAAGCAATTAAAGTTAGGAGTTCTTTTATAACTTAAATAAGAAATTATTGTTATATAATTATTAAATTATTAATAATTAAAAATAAATAGTTAAATTATTATTATTACCTCCTTTCCACAAAATCTAGATGATGTTGACCGTGGAGCCACCAACATAAAGTTCATATTTTTTAATGTCAGTTGTTGATCAAATATTTATTATCCAGGATTTTTTCCTTGATGAAAGAATTAACCTGAGAAATTTTGTTGGAATTTTTTTCCTAAGCTCTGTCTACTGGAATACTTGTGATGCAACATCCTAGGGCTGAAAGGGAGAGGAGGTATGACTATAGTCTATATCACTGACCAGACATTCTGTCTCATAGACTGCAGATTCAGGGTGGCTGGGATAATTTAGAAAAATTGTTTATGTACAAACCATTTCAGTGCACAAGACTCTTGACTTTCTTAGATAGCTGAAGTGAAGTCTACTGTCTCCTGGCAGTAGACTATGGTGGATTTATTGTCTTGGGAAGTTTTGATTTCCTTAAAAGATTGACTCTGAATGGAAGATCCACCATTAAGGCAATGGACCCATCCCAGTGGGTATCTAGGTCCATTGCTATAATAGGTCATATACTAGATTTGATATTTTTTTTGTCTCATGCCAATGACCTGAAAGTGAAGGGACTTTAATTCTTTGTAATGGACAGATCACTCTCTGGTCAGTTTTAGGCTGGCAGCTGCTATAAACCTGAGCTTGTGTGGAGACCAGTTGAAATACCCCAACCCATGTGTCTGGTGGATCTGGATGCTGTACTGATTATGTTCAATGAATTTCTCACCCCACCTGTCAATGTTATTGTTAAACTTCTACTGAGTTTTGGAATGCTGATATGGCTCAAGCAGTTAACAATATATGGCATCTTGTCCAATTAAATATTAAAGAAGGAGGGCAACAATGGTTCACTATAGGTTTGGATTTTATACTTTTTAATATATGTATTAACTTTTTAGCTCTGTTGTACACTGCCCACAGTCACTTGCCTGTGACATAGGCAGCTACATAAATTGGTTTAATAAATAAACAATCTTCATCATTCTTTTCAGAGAAAGTTAATTGGATTTGCATTAATTTGGATTCCATAGGAGGGCAATAATAGGGAGAGAATGTTAGCAATCACTTGCTAGGTTCATATGAAATATTTTCAGTTTCTAGATCTCTAGGAAGTAAACAGGATGTATGGAGTCCCACCCCATATGATTGCTCAATCCTTGATCTTCCTGGATAATTCAGTTAGCCATCTGGGGGATGAAAGACTTTCTGAATATGGATGTGTCCCTGTATGCTTAAAGGTGGAAGTTCTAAAATCTTTGTTGGGAAAAAAAAACTTTTCTACACTTGGAAAAAAATCTATAATTATAGGCCAATGTCAAATATTTGGGAAAGGCGGTTGAC